CACATTCCTCGAAGCACAGGTCGAGGAGGTGGAGTTGCAGCTATCTTTGACTCCAGTCTTGTAATCAGCTCTAAAGCTAAATTGAACTATAACTCTTTTGAAAGCCTTGTTCTGAGTCTTTCCCACCCAAGCTGGAAATCACTGCAACCTATTCTATTTATTATAGTGTACCGACCACCCGGTCCATACTCTGAATTCTTATCTGAATTTGCAGAGTTTTTGTCAACTTTAGTCCTTAAAACGGACAAAGTAATTATTGTAGGGGACTTTAATATCCATGTGGATGTTGAGAATGACAGCCTCAGTACTGCATTTATCTCTCTGTTAGATTCCATTGGCTTCTCTCAGAGTATTCATGAACCGACTCACTGTTTTAACCACACCCTTGATCTTGTTCTGGTGTATGGTATTGAAATTGAACATTTAATAGTGTTCCCACATAATCCGTCTTTATCTGACCACTGTTTGCTAACTTTTGAGCTTTTACTGCTGAATTACCCTCCACTGGGTAAAAATGTCTACTCAAGATGCCTGTCTGATAGTGCTATAGCTAAATTTAAGGATGTGATTCCATCAGCTCTACATCCATTATCAAGTCGTACAGAAACAGAGGACTCTTATGTTAATTTCAGTCCTTCCCAAGTTGATCATCTTGTTGATAGTGTTGAAGGCTCGCTGCGAACAGCTCTTAACGCTGTAGCCCCCCTAAAGAAGAAAATTCTTAAACAAAGACGGTTAGCTCCATGGTATACTAGTGAAACCCGCAAATTAAAGCAGATATCTCGGAAACTTGAGAAGAACTGGCGTTCAACCAAGCTGGAAAAGTCTCGTTTATCTTGGCAAGATAGTCTTAAAGCTTATAGGAAGGCCCTCCGTGATGCCAAAGCAGCATATTACTCGTCTTTAATTGAGGAAAATAGGAACAATCCCAGGTTTCTTTTCAGCACTGTTGCCAGGCTGACTGAGAGCCACAGCTCTATTGAATCAAGTATTCCAATAGCTCTCACTAGCCATGACTTCATGAGCTTCTTTAACGATAAAATTCTAGCTATCAGGAACAAAATCCACCAAGACTTGCCCTCAACTAGCATCGACTTATCTTTAAACTCAGTAACTGTAGGACCAGAACCAGTTATATGTTTTGACTGTTTTGCTTCCCTCAATCTTTGTCAACTAACTTCAATCATTTCTTCATCCAAACCTTCAACTTGCCTCTTGGATCCCATCCCGACTAGGTTGCTTAAAGAAGTCCTACCCTTAGTCGGTACTTCTCTGCTAGACGTGATCAATCTGTCCTTATTAACAGGCTATGTGCCACAGTACTTTAAAGTTGCTGTAATTAAGCCTCTTTTGAAAAAGCCTAACCTGGACCCAGATGTTTTAGCCAACTATAGACCTATATCCAACCTTCCATTCATCTCCAAGGTCCTGGAGAAAGCAGTAGCCAAACAGCTGTGTGACTATCTACATAGCAATAGCTTGTTTGAGGTTTTTCAGTCAGGATTTAGAGCTCACCATAGCACAGAGACCGCACTGGTGAAAATTACTAATGACCTCCTAATGGCATCAGACAAAGGACTCGTCTCTGTCTTGGTTTTATTAGATCTTAGTGCTGCTTTTGACACCATTGACCATCAGATCCTACTACAGAGACTGGAACATTTCATCGGAATTAAAGGAGCCGTTCTAAGTTGGTTTAAGTCCTATTTATCAGATCGGTTTCAGTTTGTGCATGTTAACGATGAGTCCTCCATGCATGCCAGAGTTAGCCACGGAGTTCCGCAAGGATCCGTTCTCGGACCAATCCTCTTTACTTTATATATGCTTCCTTTAGGTAATATTATCAGGAAACACTCTATCAACTTTCATTGCTATGCAGATGATACTCAGTTATACCTATCGATCAAGCCAGATGAAACTCATCAGCTAGCTAAGCTTCAAATGTGCCTTCAGGATGTTAAAACCTGGATGACCTGCAATTTTCTAATGTTAAACTCAGCTAAAACTGAAGTTATTGTTCTAGGGCCTAAACGCCTTCGTGACGCATTATCTAGAGATATAGTTTCCCTGGATGGCATCGCCCTGGCCTCCAGCACCACTGTGAGAAATCTTGGAGTTATCTTCGATCAGGACATGTCGTTTAACTCTCACATTAAGCAAATTTCAAGAACCGCCTTCTTTCACCTTCGTAATATTGCAAAAATTAGGAGCATCCTGTGTAAAAATGATGCAGAAAAACTAGTCCATGCATTTGTTACTTCTAGGCTGGATTACTGCAATTCCTTGTTATCAGGGTCTTCAAAAAAGTCCATTAGGACTCTTCAGCTGATCCAGAATGCTGCAGCACGTGTTCTTACAGGAACCAGAAAAAGAGATCATATTTCTCCTGTCTTGGCTTCTTTGCACTGGCTTCCTGTTAAATCCAGAATAGAATTTAAAATCCTTCTCCTTACGTATAAAGCTCTTCATGGTCAGGCCCCATCTTATCTTAAAGAGCTTTTAGTACCTTACTGCCCTACCAGAGAACTGCGCTCCCAGAATGAAGGGTTACTGGCAGTTCCTAGAGTCTTGAAATCTAGAATGGGCGCTAGAGCGTTCGGCTATCAGAGTCCTCTTTTGTGGAACCAGGTTCCAGTTTGGGTCCGGGAAGCAGACACCGTCTCTATATTTAAGAGTAGGCTTAAGACTTTCCTTTATGATAGAGCTTATAGTTAGAGTAAGTCCACCCCTGGTTGTGCTGCTATAGGCCTAGACTGCCGGGGGATGCATCATGATGCACCGAGCTCCCCTTTCCTTTCTCTCTCTCCCTCCCGGTGCAACCTCATTCCATTAACAATGTTACTAACTGGACTCTCTCCCTTCCCCGTAGTCGTGTGCTTTCTCGTCCCCCTTCTCTCTTCTCTCTCTTCCTAACACTTTCTGCAGATATTCCTGGCTCTGGAGCTGTGGGGTCTGGATCTGTGGTTGGGAGTCTCCTCCTATCACTTCCTGCAGGTGTTCCTAGAGCTGTGGAGTCTGGATCTGTGGTTGGGAGTTTCCTGCTGCCCCCATGTTCCTGCTCATCATTAGCATTAATATCATTGCCATTTTTAATCTATTCTACGTGTTGCTGTGTTGGCTGCCCCTCTCTGCTCCTTCTGTCCTTCTCTCGCCCTCTCTCTCTCTCTTGCTCTCTCTTTCCCCTCACCCCCAACCGGCCGAGGCAGATGGCCGCCCACCCTGAGCCATGGTTCTGCTCAAGGTTTCTGCCTGTTAAAAGGAAGTTTTTCCTTGCCTGTGTCGCCTAGTGCTTGCTCATGGTGGGAATTGTTGGGTTTCTGTAGTTAACTTCAGAGTAGGGTTTGACCTGCTCTGTTTGGAAAGCGCTGTGAGACAACTGTTGTTGTGATGTGGCGCTATATAAATAAAATTGAATTGAATTGAATTGAATTGAATGCAAAGCTAAATAACAGCCAGTATATACTAACTTAAACTGTACATTTACACACACATACACACACAACATTCAATGTATTTTTCAGACACGATGTGACGAATTGGCCAAAATTAAAACTTCCAACAAGAATTTAAAACAAATTCTTGGAAATGTTATATCCCCGCTGACTACTTGAAACATTCCACTTCCACTACAACTCAGCAATAATATGAATTGACTCAGAAAAAAACTCAAGGGTTTATGTAGAAGGTAGCAATCTGTCAGGCTTGGTGCGGCCACCTCTATCGGTCAGCGTGTCCTCTTTCAGTAGACATGGACATATATAATGGTCTCTCTACCAACCAACGTCCATCCACAACCACCTAACCAGCGCACACATCAATCAGTCTCTCCTCCTGCTTTTTAATCTGTTTCCAGCCCAGAGGACCAAGGACACTCAAAAATTACACTGAAGAAAGGTCACCCCATGCAATTAGAACATCATCAGGGATGTCCACTGGAGGGTCATTCTCCAAGCCCCTTGTAGCACATCATAAATCCTACACTGTCCAACAAGAAACGCCCACTCTGTGAGGATTCAAAAAGTTCTGGTAAATCATATTCTCACATGCCTCTCAGTACAGACAGCAGATCTGAACTGTTATCGGGACGCTCGTGAGGTGTAATGGCACGTGCCTTTGCGATGATAGGCTTATTCCCCAAAGACAGACCGCGTTATCGTGTTATCATCAGTCCATGTATTGACCCTGAATTGACCCCAGGGTCCGGATCAATTAGGTCTCCAATCAGAATTAGATCAAGCTGCCCTCTGCAACCTTCATCATCGTTCTCATCACCTGCTCCTAACAGGGTTCCCACTGTTCCCACTGTGACCACTGTAAGACACACATATAGGCATCAAACTCCCCATGAAGCAAGAATTTTAAAAATGAATGCACCAGTGTAATCATCAATAATTTGGACACCGCCATCGTAGCTTTGCTGAGGAAAAAAAACGTAATGAAAGAAGGGAAGAGGGAGGAATACAAAAAGCAACGGAAAGGCTGGGTCAGTGAGCTTTGAGCCTCTTGTGGGTTGATCTAAGCCAATTAGAGACAAGTGACAGCTCTGCTACGTGGTCATGACACAACTAGACCACGGCGCTGCTCAGAGACCCAACACCCCGATACGAGCTTCGCTTGGACCCCAACAAGGTCTTAACACTGTGCATAAAAGTGGAAATATCCCACAGCAACCCCCAACAATCCGCACCCAGACGAAAGCCAAGGATGTGTGAGAGAGTATGCTTAACAAAAGATGGTCCGCCACCCCCCCCCCACCCCCCTTTTTGGCCTGTTTTCTCTGCTATCCAGAAGGAAGTGGCTGGCTAAGCAGAGATTCCTGCCAGCCTCCGTTATGGTCGGCCAACTCTCTTGACATCTGATGTTATTTAGAGTTGCTATGGAGACCTGGCAAATCCGCTGACCTTTGCCCGGGTGCTTTAAAACTCGTGAACCCGAGACAAGCGAAAACCACAGAGTTTGAACAAAAAAAGAGGGTGGGTTCAAATGACCACCAGCAGCTGTCATTTCTGCACTGCCTTTATCCCGGGAGCTGATAACAGAGCGTCCTTCCCAGTGTACATGGGGGGGGGGTAGTAGGCCACCAGGTTGTGAGTTGTCAGGGCTCCAGGCATTGAGGAGCTCGTGATTAATGAGGGGGGGGCGTTGCGCCACACGGAGCTCAGCAGCACGTGCCACACTGGTGATGACAACAAAAAAGTCGTGACACTGTGTGGCACTGGACTTGCAAAGAGCTGGAGTCACAACAGCTTTAACCATCCAATCACACAGCGATATCTACATGGACATATTGCAGCAACCACAAATAAACATCTACATACACTTAAATAAACATAAATAGATAAAATGACGCAAACAAATATAATTACTCGTGTAGCACATCCCTGATTCTGAAATTGGATATGCAATCCCCCCAAGGCATTCTGTCATCCATGCTTGACTGAGCATCAAGTGTATAATCTGTGGAAAGCATTTTGGAGAAGAAGGAGCTAGAAATGCTGAGATGAGGGTTGACAGAGGGGGAGTGATAGAGGTTGAGAGGCACCCAGCAGGGGTCTACGACATGACAGCCCTCTGTACGTCTCACGTCTGCCACTCAAGAAAGTTAATGATGGGCCAACCACCACCCCCCCCACAGACACTGCATATGGGAAATGAGGCACCGATGCAGCACGGAAAGTCGAGTTTTTCTGGAAAGCTGTGGTAAACCGTCAAATGAGAATGAGATATCGGATTTCGGTAATAGTTTTCAAACAAGAGACATTAAGAATCTGAACTTAGATGATTAGGGAGTGGAAAATATTGGGATATAGGACAAATTAAGATAGACTGAGTCTCGTATTGTGGAAGAAAAATTATTTGCCACACAGTAAATACAGCATTCAGGTGTAGATTCATGCAATATTTGTAAAATGTGTTTTATGATAATGTACCTAAATGATGGAAAAGATCTGAGTTTATTCAGATATAAAGAAACTTATAAATGACAGCGATTCAGTGTTCAAGTTTTTACACCAACAGCATCTTAACTGGATAAACTGGCAGATGCTTGTATCCTTTTGTCAGTAATTGAATTACCTGTGCTGTTCTTCCTCTGACACAGGAATAACCCCACTTCCAATGCCTATTTCTACACTCATACATCTTCCAATAACCCTAGCATAACTGTATTAGCCATGCATGCTAGCGATACAACCCAGACTACCAAATGGACATGTACGCAACTCTGTTTCCAAGCCATAAGGTCAGATGATGGTCAATCAATGTAAGGTCGCATTCAGAGCCGGCTAAAGGTCAGCTATCAGGACCCAAAATACGATTGGCCCATCAAACCCTGAACTGCAGCTACAAAAAAAACCCCTCAATTTCACCATTTTAAATGTGCTTAGTTATGCATGAAAAGTAAAATTTGCCAATGTGATGGGAATAGGTTTTTAATCACAGCTTTTTTTGGGCATTAAAAATGTTTTAGGGAGGATACAGTTGAATAGAAGAAATTACACATTAATTAGTAAAACAGGCGATTAAATGAATGGTACACCGACATTAGCAACCAATTGTTCATTTGTGCCACTCAGAATTTTGTTCAATCATAATATTTGTTTAATAACAAAGCAGCTAAAATTATGTAGTGGGGGAAAAAAGGTGCAATTATGCATCCATTCTACTTTAAGAAGTCGTAAAAACAAAGATTAGGCACAAGTGAAATTTTATCATCCGGACGTGGTTTATTAAGCTGTTCTTTTCAGATCATGTGACACATGGTGTCTTGGGTCTAACGTTTCCAGAACGTGCCACGCAGGTCTCAAAAGGGCAAACACTTAACTGTGCCAGCTGGACAACAGAGAGGTAGCTTGGAGGAGTATGGGAGGATGGGTGCAGGCATGTTTTTTCTTCAACTCCTCTGTCTTGTATGGGCTCCAAATGTCTACAAACCACCGCTCCTGTGTCTCTTTGTGTGTGTGGGATCCAATTTGTGCATGAAACAGGAGAACATTAATGGGTTTTAAAGATCGGTGGAGTCAAATGAACACACTCATCAGTTAGATACACACCCCTCGGTGATCACTCAGTGTCATTATATTTCATTTCCTGTATAAAAGGAAGATCGCGATGGATCCAAGACAAATCCCAGCAATTAAAACAACACTTGTGATGATTCACTGCCTTAAATTCTGCCACATGGCTAGTATGTACCTTTTGTCTGGAATTTCTAAGTTAAGACAATTAATTGAAAATTCAAAGACAACACATGTCTCTTTGGATATTACTCAAGCAGAATCTTGCTAAACATTGCCCGCTTTATGAAAACATTGCATGTAAATGCAACAAATGCTCATTTAAATATAAACTCACACACACACTAATTTCTGCACAGACACAAAGCAAGTGAAATACAGATAAACACAGGCAGCACCTGCATTTCTGTTAATAGCTTTGCCCTGTGCAGTGTAAAGCACGAGGGCCAGCAGCAAGAGGCATTGAGATAAGATTCTGCTTAGCATTTGAATAGCAAGTTCCGATTTCTGTTAAACTGGCCTTTAGCCATGCTAGTACTGAAGTGCTGTGGACATGTTGTTCTGGTTTCCATCGTGCCAACCAATGTGATGGCCCATATCTGGCAGTGTGCAATGTCTGTCAGTGTCCCAGTCTGTCTGTCTGGCTGGTTAATAAACAGCCTGACTGGCTGCTAATCATCCTGCCAGCTGTAGAAGCAGGTGGAGCATACCACAGCTCCCAGTTTCATTCAGCGTGTGATGTCATGTCACTGCACCTAGTCATACCGCACAACATAAAGAGGTAGTTTCAGGCCTTCTTTGTCCACCTCTAAAGCATTTGGCATTTATTTGTCAATGGAATGTACTCTAAGGCCTCTACAGTACAAAGGTGAATGTACAATGGCACACCTCTGTGCCCTGTTCCTTACCATGGAGTGACCCACAAGTACTCTAACAGGCAGAGGCAGCAGCTCAGATACAAAACACATCAAAACGGGAAGCCATTAACTGTGAAACAATGAGGTCCCTCTCAATGAGACACGGATCTAAATGCTCTACTTCTCTGACGATAGGCTAGCTGGATGCAGCAGTTGTGCAAAGGTCAAGATGGAAAGTAGACCAGAATCACAGCTGTGTTAGGAACTGCTCTCCTAAACATTCGATCTGGTCTCCTCTAACTTTTAAAAGAGACCAAAATACTCTGAGGATCAGTTTCAAAAAGCATGAAAGGAAATAAGATCTAAACGGAGGGAGGGAGGAGAAAGGGAGAAGGAGAAAAGAGAGTAAAAGAGAGAAGGAGAGGGAGACAGACAGCAGAGACAAAATGATTAGGTTTCAGCTCTGATCTGCAGCTGTCGAGGGCTCCGGTCAGTGGAAGGTGTCCCTTGCAGGACACATAATCCTGGCCAAACACAATATCTGTATCTGTGCTGGGGAAAGATCACCAAATCATAACACATCCAGACCAACCGTAACCCCGCCATGATCAAGGGGCCACAGAAGAGGAAAAAAATGGTTACAGTTAACTGCAAAACTACAAAAGAGCAACAAATAATTGCTCAGCAACAAACAAGAAGATACCCAAACAAACAAAAACATTCTTTGACCGGTGACATCCAAAGGATTGTACTGGTTCATGCATACTTACATGAACCCTAACCCCCCCCATGGTCAGTTTGCCGTTTGTCTCTTCCTCCCTTCCCCCAGCTTCCTTCCTTCTCTCACAGTTGAGTTAAGGACCTAATGAAGCAGAAATGCTACATTGCCTATGTTTCCCAAAGGCTCCTTTAAAGAGGGATTGCCTTTAATGTTTGCACAACTAGAAAAGCAGCCTAAAAAGCTATTTACCTTTCAGCATTTTTTGTGTATTCGTGCACTTTCGTGTGCTCGATAGCATTCAACTGGGCGAATCCATCGGATTGCCGGTGTTCACCGTGAAAGTTGTAAACCAAAACAAACAGTCTGAATCATTGGCCTGAGTGAGTTCTGACCCTTTCACAGGACTGAACACAAGCAGCATTGTACACAGCAGAGTGTTGCGCAAAGGCATGCGTGCAAATGAACGTTTGTGAGAAAGTAAGTGAGGAAATAATGGCCATTTCAACCGGGGACATTGGTGCAGAAATAACACAGCTTTCCACACACCAGAGGCTGAATCAATTTTGGCGACATTTGATTCAAACCTATACAAGCCTGTGCCTGAACTTCAGTCCTCCATTCTGTCACCTCCTCCCAAGCTCTATATGATGGATTACCATCTCTAGTAGTCTCAGAAGGTCTGAGAGAAAGGGGGGAAGAGGATGGGGGAAGCCAGTCACAACAGCATCACATTCATTGGAGTGGAGCCCTAGGTTAGGGAATTATAGTATGACAGAGATCCGGGGTGGATAGGAGAGGGCAAAGGGTTCTCTCGGGGTCAGGGGAGCCAATCCCGGCTGGACTCAATGCAAGCCACCCTCAGTCTGCAGCCATCTATAGGGATTTAAGGCAGGGTCACGTTTTTGATTAATATTATTATCACTCACTTGTCCCTTTGCCCACTTGTCAACCAGCAGAGTGGTATCAAACATATTAATCTAAATCTGGGTGAGAGGCACACCTGTGCGACAATTTCAGGAGCTATGAACCTCAAAGGCTAGATTACCAACAATCAAACAACGAGGAAAAGAATGTCAGACAGATAATGGGAAAATTCTGATGTTAGACGATCATCATCATAAATCTCTCTCTCGAATATCTGAAAACTGAAGGGATCTTGAATAAATTTCAACCAAGCACACAAGTCAATATCAAAACAGAAATCAAAGCGCAATGCACTCATGAAAGCTAAACCGTCTGTGTTTTTTTCAGCCAATCAATAATAAGCCTCAAGACAGATTTTAATAATTTACACAGCTCAGTCTACTTCTCCATGTGAATTGGAGGAGTAAAAAAAGCCTGGAGAGAAGGTAAGTTTATTTTTCAGAAAATATATTCTCGCCCGACTGAGCTTACTTTTTTTTTCTCAAACAACGCTGCCACGCTTGTTCGGTTTATAGACTCAATGGTAATACAAAGATTTATTTTCTGAGTCAGTGCGACGGGCGCACTGCTCGGGTGATGAGATGCACCGGTGTGGTGGAAGCAGAGAGACTGAGGGAAAAAAAAGGAGGCAAAACACAGGCAGGCTGGAGAGACAAAGCAATAGACCTGCTTTGTCAGAGAGAAGAGGCCATCAATAAAAGTGTCACCGTAAAGAGAGGAAGAGGGAGAGTGTGAAGGAGCAAGAGGAGGGTGTATAAAGAAACACAACAAAACCCGGGGAGACGGGTGCTTCATCTTTCCGGGCACTAATGGACGTGAGAAGAGGCTGGTTCAGCATTATTTGCTTGACAGCTCACTCCTCTGCTGACGAGCCACGGCATCCAACACAGAGAACTTGTTTAATGTGATTTGAGCACTTCAGAGTGTCACAGTGGTATAAGTAGAGAAGGTGAAGAATGAAATTCAATGAGACAAAAAGGCCGATCGGAGCATGGAAGTCAAAGGTCTGCCCAAACTTTTTGGACTGATTAAATACTCCACCTCTCTGCGGCAGGCAGGAACTCATCTCCTTTTCCATCTTAGTCCTCGGCTCCAGCAACAACACTCTTGACATTTTTCATCGGCAGAGCTCCACACGGCACACGTGCAGAGCTCTGAATTCCTCTGACAGATGACACACACACACAATCTGTGTCCCTAGGTAGATTCAGAGAGGTCAAAGCTGGGACAAAAAAAGCCCACTAAGGAAAGTAAAAATGCAGTCTCAGGACACGTTGTGTGTGTACGGGAATGTAGCATTCTGTGTGTGTGTGTGTGTGTGTGTGTGTGTGTGAGTCGGGAAAAGGTCAGAGTGCCGGTGGTGACCGCAGGATAATCCTATGATTTATCTTCTCCTGAGAATTTTTTTTCCCTTCAAATATCTGCTCCACCAGTGCAGGATGGTCTCTTTTCACGCATTGTGCAGGAGTAAGGTAGTGAGCCAGCTCCATGCAGGCATATATGAGTGGAAAGTAATACACGTATTCGTGTGTGTGTGTGTGTAGTCAGTGTGTGACCGAAGTCCAATTAATGCAAAACACTCTGCAGAGGTCAGCAAACTCCACCTGCACGGACACATTTAATCAGGGATCTCTCTCCAAAACAATTCATCAAGGGAGGATATTTTTCATACCCTTGCATGCTCTTAACATATTTTTTTAATCACAGGGCAACTTCAGATTTTTTTTGCATGTGCTTTTTGCTTTTGCCTTTTGCTGTCATGAAAATGAAAATCTTAATCCTAGAGCTAAAAATACACTCAGATCAACAATGCTATCCCTGCCCACTGAGCTAATGTTAGAGTCCATGTCTCTCTAAAGTAGATGCTAGAACCACATATGCAACATGGATTGCTTACAAATGTCAGGCTATAAATGTTCTGAAGTGTGAATTAGGAAAAAAGGTAAATCTAAAAATTTTAGACAGATTATTTTACACATTACAGTTTGACCGCAATATTGACCAACCAGTTTTGAAAACAAATAGAGAAAATAATATGTACACAATATGTACTTTAATATTCTAATATTATTTTGATCAATTAACATATTGTAAATAAAATATGATCTATGTTATCTCTTTCACTCTGGGCGGGGATGTGGTTTCAGTCTGTCACATTAACTTATATTGTCGAAAGTCCTTTACGTTCAAATTCCTTCAATTTCTAACTTACATAGCCAGCACATTCATATAAAAATGTTTACAATCTCTCCAATGATAATCAATTAAGCTCCTCAATACATTTGACTAAACGAACAGATATCCAGAATGTGCAAATTAAACTCATCTTGCATTTGGAGATTGTGTTTTATTTGGTAAGTGGAGCGTGCATCACTAATGTGCCGTAATGGTTCCATTGTTGCTGCTTCCTTCATTACCCTTCATTATTTGTCAAGGACTTCGGCGTAGATTAAACCTCAGCCCACCAGGGTTTTTACCAGCGTGCGGGCAGGTGTTTGCGCACACGTGTATGAGAGTCTGCTGTTTGTGTGCACTTGTCACCCCATTTTCTCATTTCTGAACTGGAATAATGAGCCCAGATGAGCTCTGCGGTCCAGCTCAGCCTCACTCCCCACCTGGACTTCTCCTCTTGGCCTCTCCCTTTATTAGCTTTTCCTCATGCTGGACACAACAGGAACAGCTTGGTACCCTCCTCCTCTTTTCACCACTCACACCTCTCCCAACTCTATTTCTCTGCTAATTACCTTGTTGTACGAGCACCAAATGCTACCTAACGATTCACTTAATTGCAAAAGTGGTACATTAGATGATATCAAAGGACCTTTTTAAAAGTCATCCGGTCCCATTCCAAGCGGCATTTAGAATCAACCCAAGACATCTGTTTCATTTCGGTGTCATTTGCATTTTTAAAGGTTAGAAACTGTGCAAAGCTGCAAGATCACATGTTTTCATGCATTTGCCATGCCACCCCCTCAATGATTACTTACATCTTACAACACGCATGCAGCCACATACAGTACACGTCAGAGAGGGGCCAGGAACACACTTGACATGCAATTAAAATTGTACCCATTCTCTCTGCGAGTTCATGCTCACATCTGGCGCTCTATGTATGCGTTCTACTCATCCACCTGCAAAAAAATTGGGCTAATTAACATTTTCTTTAGGAGTCTGTCACCCCAGGTGCGCCCTGTCACACCTACATGTGCGCACATATCTGCCGTGCCCACAATGTAATAAGCTGTGGCTATAGTTAAAAATTTTCTAACACACTCTTCACAATGATTTATGAACCTTCGCAATGACCTAGTTTATTCTGAAAAAGAAAAGGGGGCCACATTCTCTGGGCTTCAGTCCGTTTTGAGGAGGATAGAATTACCGTGCAGTCTTCTCAGGTATCCTTTCGGCAACATGCTTACTCGTTCTTTTTTCTCTCCTGAAGTACGGAACAATGAGCTGTTGTAATTAAATCTCACCAATGTGGTGCGAAATGATGTGGAAGCATTATTCTGGCACTCAGTGTATGCACTGAGGGCCTACGTAACACAAACCGGTCGGTTAGTTTATACTCAGTTCTATCCGTCTGTGAACAAAGTGCGCTCGACATCTCACACTTAAAAAAAGACAAGGTGATGGATTAAGTAGTAAGGACAAGTAAAGTCTCTTAAATCAGGCCCACATTAATAATGAAGCAGCGCTTCTCAGAGGCCTCTTTGCTTTTTATTTTACTCCACCTCGGCTGAAGGAGGGAGTGCCCAGCTTGAGGTCCAGCATGCAGCAGCGCCACTCTGTCAGTGGACACCGACTTCAATCTGTTTCAGCGCCGCAATTCAATTATCTCACCAGGATCCTGCTCAAGCACTCGTGAATGAAGGGGGCCAGTGAGACGGGGGGGCTGGCAAAAGGTGCGCTCAATCCAATGGAGCAAAAAGAGGAAGGCGGAAGAAGACGGGGCGCGGGGGGGGGGGGGATGCGAGACATATCATAAACCCCGCTCAACACGGATATAGATTGAAATTCGGCTTCTACTCGTGCGATTAGCTTTGGCATTACAATCACTGGACGGATGTCAGGGCCAGATAAAGCTAATCACTGCAGTAAAGCCAATGCAGTAGGATTTAGGCCCCCGCCCGCTTCAGCTCCCCCAGCCCCCCCCCTGAAGATTTGGCAGAAAGAGAAAGCTATAAGAGCTCAGGGCCCAAAACAACCTAGAAATGGAGTCCTAAATGTGAGTAACAGTGAACAGTTATCTGCTAACAGAAAAATAAACTGACCAGCTTGTTTAGGCTTATAAATAAGTAATATACATAAAGATGTGACAAATCACTGGGACACAATTATGTGCTACACCACTTAGATATAAAAGACAACTTAAAATCTGATGAAAGCTATAAAAATTTGAAAAACTTGTGACAAAAGAGTACTAACATGTTTCTGATGATATCTATTAACCTCTATTGGACTGTTGACAGCTTGAAACACAAAAACAATCTACACGTTTCATTGCAAAATCTTTTTGGTCAATATTCCCCTTTCTTCTCGTCATTAAAATTTCAACAAGCCATTAATGTCACGATATAAAACACTGCACTGATATTCTAATCTCCTTTCTTTGACCTCATCTTCTCAAATTTCTAAATCATGCCTTAAAGGGTTTTGCTCTGCTAATAATCTCATAACTCATATGAAAATGATTGTACAAAAATCCCAGTGCAGTGTTAGATAATAATCAAGTAACACGGGGCACTTTCAGACCGAGATAATAAACTCAGCCTTTGTTCTAAGAAAGGGAAGAATGATTGGCAAAAGGAAAGCTAAAAGGTGGTTGGAAAGAAGAAAATTGAAATAATCCTGGAGACTTTATTAATTTTTAATGAATTTTCATTTAGAGTGGGAGAGCCCAGTGACAGCAATCAATAGATCAAGCTGCTGTCACACAGTTGGCACTTGGAGGTTGCTGAAAGACCCTTGGGGGTGCAGAATTCCGAACCAAAGACAGAGACCCACACTCTCCATTTCCTTTTGGAAATGATTAGAAACTAACTAACCACAAATCTTGCATACATTGCATGACTATTAACATAATACATTTATATTGCAGTTACATGGAGGAAGGTATTTTACTCTACACAGACATTTCAGACATGTAATCAAATGGTAATTAGCACATTTGCTTGTCTTACCATAGCTAAATACTCAAGTCTAGCTGTATGTGTAATTCTTAACTTCTCAAACACTGTTATCTGAAACACAACAAAAACGAAAGACCAGGAAGACTTTCCACTCTCCACCTTTTGGGCAAACTGAGGTGCCTGGGAGTCACTACATGGAAAGCCCAGCCTTAACCTCCAGGGGTGGCTGGGAGGGTGGGGAAGGCTCATCTTCAAAGGTAATTTGATCCAAAGCTTAGGTTCTGCCTGTCAAGGTTTGCCAACAAAGTTCAGGCAGCTTGAGCTAAATGTCCGTCAGGAGCCATGCATGTCATTCTACCCCCACCCACGTATCGAGACACCCATGTCTGCCATACCTTCATGTCTGTCTCACAGGCTGACAGACGCTTTATGTACTCGGCTCAAAACTTCAAAACAACTCCCCCGAGCAATGAATGTATTGTAACATGGTCAAAACATTTTCTCTACATTTCTCAATTTCCAACCTTATAAGTCGATCTTAGAGCAACATGATTATATCTATACAGTGGGGGAAATAAATATTTGACCCCTTGCTGATTTTGAAGGTTTGCCCACTTACAAAGAATGCAACGATCTATAACTTTAATCATATGTACATTCTAACAGTGAAAGACAGAATCCCAAAGAAAATTCCAGAAAATCATATCATATGAATTTATAAAAATTTATAACCATCTGATGAGGAAAAATAGGCTTTTTTTGTAAGTGGGCAAACCTGCAATATCAGCAAAGGGTCAAATACTTATTTCCCCCACTGTATATATATATATATGTATGTTTGTGTGTGTGCATTTGTGTGTGTCAGATGCAAATCCAGACCTTTCATCCAATCTTATCAGAACATAAATAAATCATTTCAGCTTGGCACCAACGATGAGAGTGAAGGGGCAGAGTATTAACTTACATGCTACTTCCAGAGATGCATTACGACTGACCGCCTCTCCCAGGTAGTTCCGGGCCACGCACACGTAGACTCCTTCATCCGGTTTGCTCCGTCGTCCATGAACAATGCGAAGAAAGAAAAGGGAGCCAGTGGGAAGCAGCATGCGGTGAGATCTCGGGTCATCTTTGTCTGTTTCCACTCGCTCTCCATCCTTGTACCACTCCACCGTCGGCGCCGGCCGTCCTTCTGCTTTACAGTTGAAAGTGGCGGGCTCCCCTTTGGATACAACCAGATCAGAGGGGTGCTCCACAATTCGGGGTGGGGAGTCCTCCTGGCGCAGACGGGATCCTGAAGGAAAAAGGACACATCTAATTAATCACAATGAAAAATAGCATACTGAAAGTGTAATAGATTGATTTTTTTTAATTAACACGTTTATTAACACGTTGTTGTAAACAGTAATTCATTCATTTTACTAACAATGGTTAAGCTATCTAGGAATAATGGATATAGTTTTAGTTTTTCAGCACAAATAATAGATACATATGAAAGAACCCAGTTTGGAAGCACATTATTACAAAGGAGTGTAAAAAATTATACATAATTATTCCTGGCATGATTGTATAATGTATAAAAAGAAGATAAACACTGTAAACTGCCCTCTCTTGGGGAGATTTTTCAGCTTCAGCCTGCTTAACAAATGCAGATATTACTTATCATACAACACCTGCCTGAATGAATTTGATGAAAGATAGAAATACTGAAAGTCCAACCAGAAATAAGAATTAAACATACAATAAAGAAAAAACAGACATGCTAACCGAATTTCTTTAAGTTTTTAAAGTAGACTAACAGTGAACCAAAGATGTTAGAAACAAGCGCTGATGATGGAGACTTGTTAGCTATTTTTCTTGGCTAGCTTTGTGTGTATGCAGACCAGATAAGCAGTGAAAAATGGCTGGATGGCTCTAACTAAAGGTTAGTTTGTAATCTTTGTCCTGGAGAAAAAGTATGTGTGAAGGAACATATATTTCAGACTGGTCAAAAAACAGCCATCTGCTCTGCTTAAACGTATATCTTGAGCTTAGAGTAATTGGACCCATGGGTCAGTGAATGCAGGGATACAGTCAGCTTTCATTTGAATGAAACACAAAACTGTTGAGTTCACTGTGCAAGAGGTCCAGAAGGATGTCAAATGCTAATCCCCCATGGCTGGAAATGTCCCACTCCTATTCATTAGGGCTAGCAGAGGGTGAGCTTCAGGAGTCTGGTGCTTAAGATAATGTTCCTTAAGTCAGAGAACTCTGTGTCTATGACCAGGTCTTATCCATGGAGATAAGATGCTGCAGGCCATACACATTTGCATCACACAAGCCACGGGGACCATGGAACAACCTAATGGTTTGATAAAGCACAAGTCAAAAGCCGAATATACAGCAGAGGCAATGAGGCAAAGTTTTCCAGACTGATCTTTAATACTTTCTTTTGAACCAAATTAGACATCCCACTAATGATTGCGGACCAGCTGGAAATTAAATCCTAACCAGGTCATCTTTCATCAAGCTGCGAGCTGAACGCTTTGTTTTAAAATGAGTTGTTGCAGGTGGGCATTTGATTGAGATGTGTCCTCGGGGCAGAGCAGTAGCCTAATAGGAACACGCCTGCTGCACAGAGGCCCAATGTACCACATAAAACTTTGTGCATGAATAAGAGTTAATTTCAGCATGGTATAGCAGCAGAGCAGTGGAGGTTACAGTTCTTTGTTCAGCTTAGTTTGCACATTTTCCGCCAACCCGTATTCTTGACTCCCCCAGGGGACACTAGGACAGGCTGTCCCATGGTCATTTCTGTTCATGAACCTATGGACAGAAGGACTTGAGCTGGCAAGTAGCCTCCCATCAGCACAAAATACACTTGAAAGACTCTAAATGAGGCAGATATGTGTGCACACATACAAATACATGTTTTGTGTGAATCATCAACCTCACCAGTTGTCAGGGCTCCAGGTTAAGACAGTAGCATATTGACCCCCTAAACAGAAGGTAGCCTGTTCTCCGTTTTTCCTAATTTGGGCTAATTCCCTCCATTTCCTTGTCATTGATTAGTGATCAACCCTTGTGTCTTGTGCTAACCGGGGACACAGACAGGGGTCTGTTGTAAAATGGTTGGCGATAGCATGTTCCCACCGTTCATGAGCTAATTTCAGTGGGATTGTGTAAAAAACTGAAGATGTGGAACTATTGCCCTTACAAAAAACAACAGTATTCTGCAGGCTCTCATTTACGGGGTCTCTGTCACCAGTGGTAAATGACAGTAACCCAGCAGCTAGCTTCTTGTGAGAGTAACTTTGTATCCTGTGACTTAATAAATGGAGCGGTAATTAACATTGTGACACTGATAAATGGAGGTTGAGATAAAGGACAGACATGGAACCCCCATCTCTCGATGTAGTGTCAAATGCACATTCATTCTTATCTCATTGAAGCATCTGTTTCCCCTTTAATCCACAAACCCCAAGGTGGCTTTCCACTAAAGGCAATGTACTTGCACAGCCCTAAACTGTGGCGACTCCATTCGATTTATATCAGTCTAATTTCTTTAAATCCAATTTGTATTCCAATCTACAGCCTTCTAATCACTTAAACCTTGGATCTCCATCTGCTCCCCTCTTTCCTGTGGAAATAAACACAGCAGATGCCTCCACAATTGTCCTTTCACTGCCAGAAAAAAACAAAAACTACACTGGGTGCAAAGAGGGCCAGACGTGACTGGTCAGTGTCCTTCCTGAGTGAGGAGAGTCAGGTATAGAGGTAGCAAAGGTTAAAAACACACCCATATGCCATGAGTGTTTAAAAGTGTTAAATTGAGTCATCAATCTCTATAGTCAACATGCTTAACTTGTAAAACTTGTCTGTTTTCTACTGTGAAATGCTTGAAAAGGAGAACTTTTGCTTGAGCAGAAATGGTTTAATTTGTTAATCCCTCATGCTAGCAAGGTATCTAAAAGTGTGCTTCCATGGGAGAACAAATACAGACAAACAAAAACGTTGTGTACATCTCCAGCACCTAGCTGTCAGACCCAGCCAGTCAAAGGAGTCAAAGTCAATTTCCAGGTTTCTATTGGGCCCCCTTTCCCACTCTCTTTACGGTAAATGTGCTTTCTTTTGGCCTTTTAATGCGATCATTGGCGCTGTGCAATCAAGTGCTCTCTGAGCCGAGGCGAGTGCACTTCACTGGGTCTCAGGGCACACGCTCCAATCAAAATGCTGTGTTTTCTCCCCGTCTGCAGTAACACCACCATTACTTCTCACCACGGCTGTGCAGTCATCCACTCTTGGAGGAAAGCAGGAACCAGAGAACAAACATACAACCATCCAGACAGGGAGTGAAATCAGAGAGGGGTTACTGAACCAGAAGCTGAGTCTTTTCTGCCTTTTCTTTCTGTCTACTTATGTCAGCTTCAATGAAATGGATACAATTTCGCTCTGCTGTTTTCAAAGAAACTTTCAGCATCAGAGCATATTTTTTTCCTTTTTCTGTAAACCAAAAGAACACAGGACACATCAAAACTAAAAGCCGTGTAAAAAGAAAAGACCGCACTTTGTAACCTCATTCAATGTAAACCGAAACTTAAACAATTCTTATAGCCCAAAATCTTCCCACTGGCCAAACACCAAAGTGCTCTTTTTCTAAAATCTTTGTCACATATTTATTCATGTATGCAACAGAAGGTCAGGTCTTTGATGATATTTTTGTAATCATTTTTATTAGCTCCCTGGAGAAATTCTAGCCCACCAACCAAATCAATACCCGCACCAGTCTCAAGCAGAGCATAAAAAGGAAGTGCTCCCCAAAGAGATATTAGTTATTCTGCCAACAGACGTGTGCTGATCACAGGTAACCAATGGCAACCTTGGACCACGGCAAGAAGTTCCAGTCACAGAGGCACCATAAAACATCAAACACGAAAACCAAGGTACCGGCCAAGATACACTGCATAGTGGTGAGATGACTGAGACATTTCAGGGGGAAAGTGCTGAAAACCAGCAAACACTGAATGTGCAAACCTACAGAAAACGACAACCTCAAAGAAATTTCAGAACTGATTAATTATGCATGAGATCCATGTAGTCAATTCTGAAAAATTTTCTTCCACTGGTTCTGTCCACTCGCTACACTGCTTCCCCTGGTCTATTTCTGCCTCTACCTCCTGGTATTTCTGTCTATTCCACTTGGTTCTTCTCCTGTTACATCCTAGCCTCGGTGTTCGGGGGTGACAGAGTCATATCCGTCATGCCATCAGTGGGGAAATGTGAAAGAGCAGCAAGGGGAAACGGAGGGTGGTGAAAGAATGATGTTACGGGCCGTCCACACCTCAGCCCCGGTCTGCTGTGACACCTCCAAGCAGCTCGCTCCGCACCCCAGATTCATCTTCTTTACTCCGGGCTGTCAGAGCGCCGACTCCAGCGTGACCCAACACCAGACACACGGCTCATCTCAGGAGGGGGTCTCTGGAGATACCAGGCTGTATGTACCACTGGCCACAACAGGACTGGTAGGATGAAAGGTGTTCGCAGGGGCAGACGCAATTCTATAACTTTATCTTCTGTTGAGATGTACCAAGTGGTTCTGAGCTTGTTAGGTACCAAGCTCACGTTATGGGCTCTGTTCCACCTCAGTGCTCTACATACTGCCCCCCTCCCTTCTCTCCTGCTAAGATCTATACTCTGAAAGCAAACACAGGGGGTAATTCTATGAGCTCCCCTCAACCTCTCGATGCATCCATGCCTGACTCTAACAAATATCAGATAGAATTCCACTCCGAGTTTATTTCGGGCAGTGGCAAGGTGGGGGTTGTATTGACTTAGCATCTGTCTATTTGCCCTCTCTCCCCCATACAGACAGAATATATAAATAGATAACTGTGGGAAACTGAATATCTGATTTTGCTGCAAAGGGCTGCTTGCATTTCAAGCAGTTTCCCCCACGTTTTTTAACAAACTACTCCCATTCCTAGTCTTCACCCGGCTATCTGAAGCCTCGAGCGGAAAAAAAGTTGATGTTATCTTTTTTTCAGCAGATGCCTTCTCTCAGAAGAGCTGAGAACGCTGTTCTGAAGCAAACAAGTGAAGAGGGGGAAAATGAGGAGGACATTAGATCAGTTAAGATCTACTTATCGCAAATGTGAAGAGTAGGAGGGCTGTTTGCTCACTCTGTAGGTCTGATTACTGCATGGTGTACAGCACCAGCTCTTATGGGTCTGTCAAGATGCAGGTAGCGACTCCAAACTGTGTGATGCAGATTAAATGATTTCCAATGCCGGGGCCACTCAGGCGTGTAGCTCAATGCACCACACCATGCTCTCCATCTCTTTCTCTTTCTCAGCAGATTATTTTGAGCAGCACCAGCCCAGGCATTTGTTTTTTACCTCTACTTTTACAGTTTGAATTTGACATTTAACCTTTGTAGGCAAAAGGTATATTCAAGATTCACACAAAACGGTATAGTTAACAATCTCTCTCTCCAAAAAATATGTTTTCCAGTTGTGTATCAGAGGGAATGTTGTCACTGCACACTATTCATTGGTCATTTTAGCCCCTGTACATGTACTCTGAAATAGGATAAGCAGCGGTTATGCTCATCCTCTCTAGATGCACCTGCTTGAATGCAATGTGTACATAGATATAAACACAGCTGGCTCAAAAATTAGATCGCTTTCAACTGTGTGAACAGCCTGACCGTTCCCACAGAGGGAAGTGCTACACAATTAATGCTATCAATTGATTCTCCCTCAAGCACTGTAATCTCTTTACCTGCAACGCCGAGTTGTCGTGCAGACTGATTTGGGAGGAATAAATAAATGTGTTATTGCCGGGGTGGACGAGAAAGCCTCAAGGTGTCTATGACACACTGCGTTGAGAAGTGATAATTGGAGGTTCGCCATGGGTGCTAACCTGTAGTGAACACGTTGCTGTGTTCTGGCAGTCAACACCTCCAGTCACTCCAGCAGTCCTTAGCCCCACATGTGAACATGAGGAATAAGAGCTGTTACCACAATCCATCCAGGTGATGGCCTCTTAGAGCATAGCGAGGTAATCAAATGCCTCTTACAGCTCAATGCTTGTTTTTTTTTAAGGAGCGCCACGGCAAGTAAAGAAGAGATTTATTAAATTTCTATACCATGAGCCACTTCATCTGGTCTTGCTCAGGGCTACAGGGTCAAGGGTGCAAACAATAAGAGTGAAATGGCCCATTCAATTTACTCAGGCCCACATAACCATGCTAACACGAAATGAGTCTTTGGCGTTATTAATAGTGCTCAAAAACATTCACACGTGTACGCCCACCACTTTTCATAGCTGCAACTGACTATGTGTAGCCGGGTGTCACAATGACAAATGTCTCAGAGCAGCTCTGCTGAAAAAAAAAAGCACCAATACCCTGGAAGTGAACCTGGAGAGATCAAATGTCCCAATGGTGTGATTGCTTTTTTTTCCTATCCACAACGGTAGAAGTGACACTTGGCTGATGCCATGTTCCACACAGGGACTTTGACCCAAAGCAGGTCTCACCACGAGTCATCATACACAGTAAATCAACTCACCCCCCGGTCATGGTTACTGGGCTTACAAAGCAGCAGGGTGTCATGTTTTTATTTCTTTTTTTTTTCAGCCGGGGCACAAGAGCAGGTTCCTGCAGCACTGACATGTTTCAACTTTTATTATTTGTGAAATAAAGTATTTGATCTGGCTTCCTACTGCTTGGACTGCAGTTATAAACTTTAAAATTGTAGCATGTGTTGGAAAATAACACTTCCAGCCGTGGCCTATAACAATGCTAGAAGAAACATGCGTGAATTAAAAAAGAAAATGCAGAGAAACAATCAATGGTATATATACAGTGGGGCAAAAAAGTATTTGGTCAGCCACCAATTGTGCAAGTTCTCCCACTTAAAAAGATGACAGATGCCTGTCATTTTCATCATAAGTCAACCTCAACTATGAGAGACAAAATGAGGAGAAAAAATCCAGAAGATCATATTGTCTGATTTTTTAAGAATTTATTTGCAAATTACAGTGGAAAATAAGTATTTGGTCACCTACAAACAAGCAAAATTTCTTGCTCTCACAGACCTGTAACTCCTTCTTTAAGAGGCTCCTCTGTCCTCCACTCGTTACCTGTATTAATGGGACCTGTTTTAACTCGTTATAAGTATAAAAGACCCCTTTCCACAACCTTAAACAGTCACACTCCAAACTCCACTATGGCCAAGACCAAAGAGCTGTCGAAGGACACCAGAAACAAAGTTGTAGACCTGCACCGGGCTGGGAAGACTGAATCTCTAATCAGTAAGCAGTTAGGTGTGAAGAAATCAACAGTGGGAGCAATTATTAGAAAATGGAAGACCTACAAGACCACTGATAATCTCCCTCGATCTGGGGCTCCACGCAAGATCTCACCCCGTGGGGTCAAAATGATCACAAGAACGGTGAGCAAGAATCCCAGAACCACACGGGGGGACCTAGTGAATGACCTGCTGAGAGCTGGGACCAAGGTAACAAAGCCTACCATCAGTAACACACTACGCCGCCAGGGACTCAAATCCTGCAGTGCCAGACATGTCCCCCTGCTTAAACCAGTCCATCTCCAGGCACGTCTGAAGTTTGCTAGAGAACATTTGGATGATCCAGAGGAGGACTGGGAGAATGTCCTATGATCAGATGAAACCAAAGTAGAACTTTTTGGTAAAAAGGCAACTCGTCATGTTTGGAGGAAGAAGAATGCGGAGTTGCATCCAAAGAACACCATACCTACTGTGAAGCATGGGGGTGGAAACGTCATGCTTTGGGGCTGTTTTTCTGCAAAGGGACCAGGACGATTGATCCGTGTGAAGGAGAAAATGAATGGGGCCATGTATCGTGATATTTTGAGTGAAAACCTCCTTCCATCAGCAAGGGCACTGAAGATGAAACGTGGCTGGGTCTTTCAGCATGACAATGATCCCAAACACACTGCCCGGGCAACAAAGGAGTGGCTTCGTAAAAAGCATTTCAAGGTCCTGGAGTGGCCTAGCCAGTCTCCAGATCTAAACCCCATAGAAAATCTTTGGAGGGAGTTGAAAGTCCGTGTTGCCCAACGACAGCCTCAAAACATCACTGCTCTAGAAGAGATCTGCATGGAGGAATGGGCCAAAATACCAGCAACTGTGTGTGAGAACCTGGTGAAGACTTATAGAAAACGTTTGACCTCTGTCATTTCCGACAAAGGGTATATAACAAAGTATTGATATGGACTTTTGTTTTTGACCAAATACTTATTTTCCACCATAATTTGCAAATAAATTCTTAAAAAATCAGACAATATGATCTTCTGGATTTTTTCTCCTGATTTTGTCTCTCATAGTTGAGGTTGACTTATGATGAAAATGACAGGCATCTGTCATCTTTTTAAGTGGGAGAACTTGCACAATTGGTGGCTGACCAAATACTTTTTTGCCCCACTGTATATATTTTTTTTTTGCAATGTTCTAAATGTACAATGATAAGACTAGAGCCTTCCCCAAAAAATGGGCTTCTGCATGAAGTCTGAGTACTTTAACTAGGTTAAAGAATGTTCTTCCTGTGTGATACACTGGCCGAGATAGTAATGAAGGTAGTGGAACGTGATACTTGTTCAGTGCCTTCACGTCTCTCAGCAGCTGTGCGGTGTGTGACGGATGTGTGCCCCGGTGTCGTGCTCAGGATGTCCATCTTCACACATGTCACAGTGAAAGACAGCTCTTGCATTTTTATCCCCAGGCCTCGCCTCATTCAAGACTCTGGTGAGATACTCAGCCCAGGTACTACAGCCACGCAAACTTTTGACAATGAAGAATAAGAGGAGATGTCGCTGAATGGCTAAATCAAGAGGAAACGCAGCAGGGAAAGTTTATCTGACAAGGAAAATATCCGAGGGCACGGTAGAAAGTTCAGCTGCTTAGAAGGATAGCAATCCTATCA